TAGCAATGGAGCAATTTTCTATTTTAAGAAGGGAAACATTTGGCCTGCAAAACAAAAAGATAGCAGTATCTTAGTAATGCTGAAAAAAAAAAATAAAGGTAAAATTTATCAATTAAAATGTATTCATCCCTATTACGTCTTCTCGATGAGCTAAGTTATATTTTGTCTGTAAAGTTTGCATTTCAGTATGATCATGGAATTCTAAGCCGATCACGATGACTGAAAATTCATTTTGGACATTACGTGACAAGGGTCACAACAGTCGTCGCGTTACTGCTGTCACACCATTTTTTTTTTTTGTGCAAAGATACCGCATTGATTTTTTTTATCAAACATCTCTTAAGAGTAAGAAAGAAAACAAGCATGTGAACTAAAAAACGAGGAACACCTCTTTCACTCTTCAAGACTATGTCAGGATTCTGGAAGTTCTTCCATAGTTCTGCCCTTCCCGCTCCCTTCCCTTCCATTCCTATCACCCTGAGGTCGTAGAGAGTGTTTTCAGTAAGGGCGGAGTGCCCGAGAATAATTTTATAATGTGTGGAAATAAGGGTCTAACGCGAAAAATATTGTCTTCATTTACAAGGAAGACAGCGCTCTCACCAAAGTGCCATACCGTCTCCAACATTTATCAAACCAGAAGGGACGCAAGAAGGTGGGATCACATTCACCCTGCACCTTGAGCAAAACCCCGTGTCAACTCACCTTATACCGTTGGACGTTATGGAAAATCATCTTCCTTGCACTCCCTGGGACTCAGTTTGTCTATGAGCAGTTTCAGTTCCTCGAATTCCTCCATTTCGAAAACCTCGTTCGGACTGGAAGCGATTGTCAGCAGTTCGCCGCGACTTACTTCATTCCCCACTCCAACGGCAATCGACGTCATCCCTGGGATGTTCTTGATTTGGTTCGAGTATTCACTTAAGTCCTCCCCAGGGTTTGTATTTTTGCCGTCAGTGAAAAATATAAACAGCTTTTTCACCTGAGAAAAAGGAAATAATTCATCATAGGTTAGAGATTGCGAAGTAAAGTAGCCAGACGTACCACAGGAGTTCATCCCGGCTTCAGTGGAATAAAGTGATTAGGGGTATCGCATTCCTCCAGCCTCCCCTCCCTAGATGGGTTGTTTGTCTATCGCAAGTTGAGCAAAGTACCAACTAGCCTGTTCCAGGCGTTCAGGAAGTTAAACGGAACACGAATGTAAACGGCTCGTCGTCACAGAGGAGCGAAAAAAAACTATGAAGGTTTTGGTCCGTCCCTCGTTTGTCCACTCTGCCGCATTTATCTTGCTCCGTTTTACAACTGAAAGCGTGGAGCAAGTGTTATAGTAATCTTATCTGACCATGCAATGCCAAAAAATGGTGCTCGGGATGATAGTCCATAGATAGCCACCTGGGTCCCAGCCAGGAGTTCGACCCAGCCCTTCACTTACCCAAGCCAGAGCACTAACCAATGGATTTCTGCGTCTTCCTACTTACTAAAAGTATACACCTATTGTAAATTTTTACAACATTTGTTTGCAAGTTTTGTCTGTTTCGGTCAACTTTCGTACTCTCTGCAGCTTTCCTGATCTCAAGCGAAAATACATAACGTTGCCATAAATTTGCAAGGAAAAAAATAAGATAAAAAGAAATATCGGGAACTGTTCATTCCACTAAAGTTATTTTTTCAGAAACGGAATTATTACTTCCTTTAAGACTGTCCATCATCATTTAATTTTTCTTCTGTGTAATCGACTGACGAGACCGAAGAATTGTTGATAAATCTAATACTTACATCATCGCCTCTCATTCCATTTCTGGTAGAGAACATCTTCAACGTCGTCGCCAGACCCTCTCTGATATTAGTCGAGCCACCATTGGTATTCTCTATTTGTTCCACCTCATCTAGAAGATCTTTTGGATTGAACAAATCGTCGTCAAAGTACAATTTGATAATTCCTTTTGTCGCGTACTGCAGCAAAGCCACATGGGTTCCATCCTCGGCGATGGAAAAAGCCTTGATGACATCTTTGACAAAATCTTTGGTCTGACGGTATTCGTTGTCGTCGATTGAATTTGAGCCATCTATTGCGAATCCTACGTCAAACTTGACATTTCTACCGCAACCTAACAAGATAGAAAACAACATTAATCCCGTTTACTATATGGCAAGGGAGTCTTGGGTTAAATCCGATTGTTCTGATTGTTTCTTTCTCGGTTGGGATTTCACCGCACAGACCGTTGAAACGGTCATAAGCCGTAAATTTTTGTTCTCAAAAGCCGGCAAATTCAATACTTACAACTAAAGCTTCGAAAAGGAAACCTGCAAGTGTGCTTATTCTTTGTAAAGACACTCCCCAAAGAGTCGATCCTCGGTTTTTATGTTGTGGCCCCCTTGGAGCACTCGGTTCGCACTACCACGACCTCGGTCCAATATTTCCCAGTACGGCCCTCAACCACGGTTAGTAAGAAATTACGGCTGACCGTACCTTAAATTGACTATACCGAGAGATGTCGAAGATTTCCCGAAAAAAAAAAAACAACAACAACAACAACAACAACAAAATAGAGGTACCCTGAAGATCTTACTTTTGATTTCGCAATGTGGGCCGGTAAATCCTAATTTGCAGTCACAACGGAAGTCCCTCTCTCTCTGTGCGCATATTCCGTCATTTTGGCAGGGCTTGTCTTTACATCCGCACTTCATTACATTGACGAATAATCGAGCGGGATTTTGGTTTTCCCCTTTCGCAAAATCAACTGATATGTCCAGCGGTCTCTCGCGCAAATTTTCGTCTTCGGATTCGAAGTCCCGGATGCAGCCTTTAAAACCAGCTCTCACCTTAGTCCTTTGGAAACTAAAAGAAAAAGGAAAACATTTGTTGTTGAAGGTTATAAGGAAAAAAATATTTACTTAATAGACCATCTGATTTTATTGTTCACTGCCATTGGGTCTCATCTTTCATGGATCATGCTTTTTAGGTGTCAACGTTTTTACAATCGAGTGTTTGCCAAGAACACAAAATCATACTCAGTTACTCCCCTTTTGAGCGAGCACGTCATTGTTGCATCATCAGAAAGTTGTATCGATGTCCACTAGTACTAATCATGTTCGTATGTATGTATTTGTTTGCGATATTAAGACAAACTGGCCTAGTTCTACTCGAAGCTGGTTTAAATGGGGGCCTGTCTAAACAATGACAAGGCCTGGCCACAACACCGGGAGCTATGTTCCCTACTCTTTGAGAGAAGAGCGTGGGTTCTTTAAAGTCCCCTGCTAACCAGTACAGAGGAGATGCAGAAGACGGGACCTAGGGTCTAACGTCCTTATCCAAGAAGACTAGAATGTTTGGTCATTTCCAGATGTGATAGCAAAGGCAGCACATTCTCCTCTGTAATTTTAAGACCCTGGGTTTTGGTCCGGTCGAGGGCTTGCACCTCGACCTCCTGCACGGCAGTCCAGCGCTCTACAACGCGAGCTTATCAAGCGTGGTCATAACTTAAATTTAGTAAATCTAGGAAACAATATTCAAACGAAAGACATCCACTAGGGTAGTAAATATTCTTTTCGTGATTGTTGGAAACGAGCTGGTTACGCCAACTCAGGGCAGTAGCCAAGGATGACTGTTTGTTCTTCCAAATCGCTCTAGTGTCACTTACATGATTGTAGTAACAGCTGAAGACCCTCCACCAATATACACACTTTCCTGTAGTAAACTGGAATATAGGTTTGTCGAGACGCCTGTTGCTCTGAGCGTGAAGATGTTGATGCCGTTAACTATCAAAGTCCCTAAGGCCTCGCTTCTGCCCACGATATCAATATACGCCTCGATATTGTACCAAACGTTCAGTTGTAGAGCGAAATTCGTCTCGATTATCGCGAAACCTCCCCCTTGGCTTAGTTTGAACCTATATTTCAACAGGAAATAGATAACTTAATAAATTAATCAATCAATCAATCCGTCAGTCAGTCAATAAATGTCGGAATAAATAAGCTATTCCACTGGTGGGTCAGTTGGTTGGTCGGTCAGTCAGCTAGTCGGACGGTAAGTCAGCCACCCATTCAGTAAATTGGTCATTTATTCAGTCAGTTGGTGGTCGGTCAGTCAGTCGGACGATTAGTCGGTAACCAATTCGGTTTGTCAGTTACGACGATGAACCACACAGTCTATCAACCAGTCAAGATAGTCAATCAATTAGTCAGAGAGTTGGTCAGTTAGCCAATCTGTCAATACAGTAAATCATTTAGTCGGTTAGTTAAGAGAGCAAATCAAGAAGTAAAACTTGGCAACTTGTTAGTAAGTCAGTCAAACCCTCAGTCAGGAAATCGGTCAGTCAGTTATTCAGCCAATCAGACAGTCAGTCAGTCAGACAGGCAGTCAGTCAGTCAGTCAGACAACAAGTCAATCAGTCAAACTGTTAACCAGTTGAAAGGCAGGCAGACATGCTCCCACGAAGGGCTAACGTTTGAAAAGTCAGCTTTCGAAACTATCGACTGAGACCAATTTACATAATCAACTTAGTTGATAAAACCAAATTATCTGTTTATACTCCCCCTCCCCACCAACGCAGCACCAGAGTTTCATCACAAACTCACCACCTTTATTGACCAGACAGACACTCAGTCGGTCAGTGAGTCAGTCGGTTAAATCTGGTGAGTCGGGTTATTTATTACCCTTTAGGTCTTGCCCATGTCAAAGATTTACATTCCCAACCCTTCCGTTAAAAAAACGAGTAACGCTCTTCAACCATACCTGAATTGTATCACGCCATCAATCATGGCTAACGAAATGAAAGCGTTCGCAGATCCAGAGTACATGATAAGGCCATTATTTTGCTCAGGTCGAATACCGAAGACAGCACCGAAAACGTCTACCCTCGTCGAAAACATAAAATTCCAACGCCATTCCATGAAGGCACTGGTGATAGCTCCGCCTCGGAAGTAGGGCACATTAGCTGAAAAAAACAATGAAAAAAGAACAACTCAAGATCTGCTGTAGAGGATTCTTGAACTGAAAACAAGAGCATGTGGTTGGAACGGTACTTGAAATGTAAACCAATTTTCAAGCAGGCTAATAGACTCCAACTTAGAGGGGAGCTTTATTTTAGATTTGAGATTTTTATCTTACTTTATAGCATGATAAGTAAACATGATTTCTGTTTGATTTTGTATTTTTTGTATTGATAGGTGCCAAAGCCGGTGGCTTTGCTTGCTTCCAAGATGGGATTTTCAAAAGTTTTGAAAATTATGCAATAAAACTGTCAGCTAAAGAAACAAAATGGGCTGGTTAGAAAGCTAGAACCTACTTCTCTAATCTTTAAATTTAAATTTCATAATATGGCTTTGGGCCCGTTAAGTTACCGGGACTTTCGAGAAACGGGCCACTTGACCCGAGAGAAAAAGAGTATTTTTTTTTTTATCGAAGAGTAAATCTTTCAACCAAATACACAAATAGCCGATACTCACTTCTATACTTTCCACACTTAACGTTTGCTTCCCATTTTTTTGTAAAAACACTCAAAGTCTTCCATATATTTCCAAATAACTAACAATGATTTTCTCTAGCAGGGGATATTTCCTTTAACTATTTCAAACCCGGTGGTTTATGGGTAATTTCTCCTCACATTATCAGTTCACTATCAGGCATAAAGCTGATGAGAATAAAATACCGCTGACAGGATATCCACTGATTAAACGCCAAATTTCCAGGGTTAAAATCAAAGGAAACGTATCAAAGACAGTAAGGAGAAGATACATTCAAATATTGAGAATGAAAAGGTTGATGAGACATACCTCGCAGTTGACAACGATCACCCAAAAATCCTTTCGGGCAGTCACACCTGATTTGGTTGTCCAGAATAGAACAGATGCCGCCATGTTCACACGGAGTCATGAAGCACATGTCTTCCGCGCCTCTTATCATGTTGACGGTGTTCAGACCGCTCGAAGGTTGGCCCGTTCCTTGGTCAGATAATACCAAGTTATAATTCTCACCATTGATGGTAAGTTTTCTAATCAATCCATAGAAGCCAGCTGTTACTCCTTGTAGTCCAGTGCTAATGCAAAACATAATATTGATTTCAGAATTTTGTAAAAGCGAACGACTTTTCCTTATCTGTATATGAAACAACGCAGAAGTAAGATGTCTCAAGTTTAATCCACTAGTGGTCCGTAATCCACTATGGTCCATGCTCCAAGAGGCAGGGGGGGGGGGGGGGGG